GGGAAAGAAGATTACTCATTAGGGATGTTGTTATACAGACATGGCACTCCATTGATTAGCACAGAAATAATAACAATATGATTATAATTAATAAGAAAATGCACCTTCCTCTCTGCCATCCTTCCCCAAAACACTTTCCCATGTTTTGCCTTGGTGTGCAGAGCAAGTTTGCAGTCTGAATCATCATACTCACCCTTACTAATGCAAACACTTCCTTTAATAAAATAATACAGTTTAAAACCTGTATAAATTTTTCTGAGATGGGCCATTCTTCATCAAGTTCCTGTAGGTCAGTAAAAACAACTTTTTTTTTTCTTCTTCGAGACCTAGTTTTGCATCTTGTTTATTCTCTGGGACTTCTTCGTTAGTCACTAACCGCAGTGTTACTTGGCACAGACAGAAACCTTTTTAACTCTTTTGCTCTTTGATTGCTAAGTGTGCAGCAATACAGAACAAAGGATGCTCCTAGACTGTAGGAGTTGACAGCAGTTCTTCATTCTGTGTTTTTCTTTAAAGACAGTTAAGATAGTTAATTATAGTTTTAAATGAGACTCCAATTGTGCATTTGCTCTTCATAATAAAGCTATATTTTCTCCCAAAGATAAAAATGAAGATGGTTTGGAAAGAGCAAAAGTTAAAAACCTTGGAGCCTCCAGAGAGTGCAGCTATTGTGGAAAGTATTTTCGCTCAAATTATTACCTCAATATTCATCTCAGAACTCATACAGGTAAATGGGCTTCACCTTTGTGGGAGGGGAAGGAAGTCTGCTGAATCCAGTTGGATGGAATGTTTGGTTTTGCTTAAGAAAAACAAGTTGCCTTCAAAATTATTGATATTAAAACCAAAGTTTTCTCTAATGCTAAAACAAAAATATTGATATTTCTTAAAATGAATTAATTATTAACATATAAACAATGGAAGTCTTTTTGTGTAGGGCTAATTACATTAGGTACTGTTAAGAATACAATATATTTTAAGACTAATCTTTCTGCTTTTAGCAGCCTAGCAAAAAGTTGGTAGGTTTGGGGGTTTTTATGGGGTTTGGGGTTTTTGTTTTAAAAGCCTATTTCCCAAGTACTACGTTGATAGTCTCCCAGTTGCTGCTACCTGGGAAAAAGCCACGTCTGTTTTTCACTTCAACTTTGTTTTTCATAGCCAGGCAAACTCTTTCTACTTCTGTTAATGTATGTCCCTGTTTCTTTTGAAACAGTGCTATTTATAGATGAACTGTAACATTTGTGTTGTTGAATAGCATACTTGTGGTATGATCAAGGGCTACAAATTGTTGGAGTTGACCCACAGCTATACTTCTTGCTTATCTCTGCCAAACATATTGTCAGCTACCATCTCCATACATAGCCAACGTGTGGAAAATATCTTCATCGTAGCCAGAAGATGTCACTGTAGTTAGCAAAAGCAGCAAGATGCAGTTGTTTAAATGATTTAGATGAGTTTGGGAATTATGAGTGTCGAAGGGGGAAGAAAAAAAATCTATTTTATTGTTTTGCGATCTACATTATTCCATTGTCTTTAATTGTATTCAAGACTTCAAATCAAATTGTATCAAACTTATTTACTGGTAAAACTGTGTTTCAGGTGAAAAACCATACAAATGTGAATTCTGTGAGTACGCAGCAGCACAGAAAACTTCACTGAGGTATCATTTAGAGAGGCATCACAAGGACAAGCAAGCTGACAGTGCAGCAGACGTGAAAAGTGACAGCAAAGTTTCATTACAGAGTCAGGAGCCGGAGCTCTTGCTGTCTGCTGATGGTGCTCAAGAAACCAAAAATTCGAAGAGGCTTTTTGATTGTGCCAAAGATGCTGAGAGCTGCCCACCTACCAAGCAGCACAAGGAAGTTTTGTCCTTGAACAATGCGATAGGCAGCACAGTCCTTTTAAAAATGAAAAATAATTCTAGGGAATTGAACAAAGGTTCCGTTTGTAACAATTCAAATCAAATACATGAGAATGTGTCCACTCCTTTCCCGGAAAAACTAAAGGCTGAGAAGGAAACAAAGGAAGCTCAGCCCAGTGTTCCTCATAAAAGAGAGAGAGGTGCTTCCGTGGCATCTGAGGGAGATGACGTCCAGTATGTTTGTGCTTTAAAGGATGGAAAAAATGTGAATGATGTGCAAGAGTGCACTGAAAACTACAGACACAAACCTATGGTGGACTCTCAAGAAAAGCCCTTGAACTTATCTGTTGGGGCTTCACAAGACTGTTCAGTGGTTTCAACTAGAGGCTTACTAGCACCCAGCACCTGTCCGTTTTGTGCTTACAGAACATTTTACCCAGAAGTCCTAATGATGCACCAGCGGCTGATGCACAAATACAATCCTGACAACGTTAACAAAAATGGCTATAGAAGCAAGGCTCTAGCTAAAGCCAGACGCACTGGATGCCCTCCAGCTCTGCTTGGTAAAGATGTACTTCCTCTGTCTTTTAATTCTCATAAAAGTAAGGCTTCCCCATCTACCCAGCAAAAACTGTTGCAAACGGGAAAAGCTAAACAATGTCACCCTCCACAGAACAAAGTCCCTCTCTTCTCAGTGACTGACTCAGGCGGCACAGCCCCAAGTAACCTCAAGTTTCATAAACAGCAAAGTAATATTGGAGCTCAGGCAAATAACTATAGACAACCTCAGCAAGAAATGCACTCCAGTTCCAGTATCTCTCCAGTATTGGACAGAGTAAAAACATCCGAATCTAAAGTAAAAGCTCTGAGTGTCCCAGTGTCTCAATCTGGTGTAGTAAGCAGCGGTATGAATGGGGCTCTCGACTCTCATATAAATGAATCTGCCTGGTCTTGTCATCGAGGAAGAGACTACCTTTGTAGTAAATCTGTGAGCAATGTAAATCTAGACTATGGTGAAACGTCTTCTAAACGAATGAAACCTAATCTGTTAGCTATTGAGCATATTGACTCTCCAATGGCTAATTACAGAAGATACGAAATGGGCAGATTTCGTGTTGCAAACCTGCTACCTCAGGAATGTTCTCGCACCAAACCTGCATCCTCTGTTTTGCCAACCAAACAAGGGCTTCTGAATTCAGATAATGTTGATCCTCGTAATGTATTGACTGTTCTCAAACCTTATGAGCCATATAGCTCTGGATCACTTTACAGTTCTTGTGGATCTAGCAATGGCCAAGTAACCAGCTCTACAGTAGAAGGTACTGTATCTCCTTCCTAGTTAAATGTCTTACACCATTACAAAGGAAGGTGAATGACATGTAAATAAGTGCGTACCCATCTTGAAACAGAAAATAAAGCTGTACTTAGCATTTCACCAAGCCCAGTCAATCCTTGGGTTTTAAATTTAAGATCCAGGTTCAGCAAACTCCTGGCTTGGGGAATCAGGCATGGAAGGTCTGAATTTTAAAGAGGGATTTAAAGTTCCTCAAGTTCCCTCCTCCCCCCTGCCATGGGTTTCTGATAGCAAACATGTATTGTTGGCTCATCAGAGCACTCCAGACATGCTAACTAATCCAGGATATGGAATAAGCCTTTCTGCTTAATATACAAGAAGTCTTGGACCATCTGGAATATTAATAAAACCTCTTACCACACACACACAAAAAAAAGCTGTCATGGACAAATGTTCCCTTCAGTTACAGAAAAGGATGTATTACAAATCATAAAACCGATTTAAATCTTCTACCTCTGTTCTTCAATGGGTTTTTTTATAATGTTTAGTTTTTAGTCGGAACAGAATACTTTGTTAAATCAAGACAACATTTTTCTGCTATTCTAATTATGGTGTCTCATAAGTAGTAATGCTTTGTGGAAAATTCTGAGCCTAGCAGAGATAAATATTTTGTGATGTATTTGGAAAACTTTGGTACTTTTATAAAAAAAACATGCTTTTTGTGTTTTGTGTAGTCAACGTTTTCAAAACTTAGCAGAAGGCCAAGATTAAAAGGTGCTAGGTGATATTTAAGCAGTTGCCTGACTATTTGTAGAAGATGGTATTTATGACTTTGAGCTGAGGTCAGTATGGACTTCGCTATAAATATAGGACTTTGAATTTTGAAATGAAGATCCTATTATAACAATAAAGAGTGTGTGTGCTATGTAGTCTTAAAGTCTCTGCTGAGTTCTTAAACTCTGAGAATACTCCCATTCTCTGGAAGCAGTAAGATTATTTTTCTGAAGTAGTCTGGGTTCATAACAAGCAGTGGTGTGTTACCTTAGGTCAGAGTGAACTGTGAACTGCAAAATACTAAATCTGCATTTAGTTATGTGGCAAAAAATGTATTAGCAAACTCTGTTCTGGGTTTTGTTTGCTTGTTTTAAGGTTGTGGGCTTCATAAATATTGAGGCTTGCTTGTGGGTTATGGAGGGATGAAGGAAAGCATTACAGTTCTGTTTCCAGTCTGGGTAGGGAGCGGATAAAGGAAAAGCCAGCATTACAGTTGACTCACTGAAGTGGTTGTGAAATGGAGTTAATTCCTGGTTTCATGAAGAGCGTTGTCTGTGTACCATGAATTGCGATGAGGAATGTAAAATGGGCACTAGGCTATGCATAGAATGCAGAGGGATGGGCAGAAGGACAGATGTTGCTGTCTTTTGATTCCTGGTGATCTGAGAGAATGAAAATCATACAGGGTTTTTTCTGAGCACAGAAGTCATTCATGCGGTTGTGGAATTTACAGTGCTTTGCAAGACTTCCCCCCCCCCCCTTTTTTTTTTTTTTTAAAGTTGTGGTTGATTGCAGCTAGGAACTTAATGTGTGATCTCAATATTTGGTGGAGGACGTGACTGTCCTTGAGGACTAAACTGTGTTAATTCTCCCTGACTGAGGACTTGTGCCTCATGACATCGTTATCTGTTGAGCAGATAGCATATTCAGGATTTTGAGGGAGTCCTCTTGATGTTGTATAAAACTGTATTAATTTTGATGAAAACAGGAATGGGAAAGTAAAAAGTTTTGCAGCTTCAACCAGCTAGACAAAGAGTATTCTGTACCCCAAGGACTTGGGGTCCTTGCGCTTTTCCAGCATTAGTGTACATTGGGGATAGGGAAATTCTCTTATTTTGCCAGTAGTCTTAGTGAGATTAGCCTATTGAAGTAGCAGTTGATGCAATACTATATTTAAACAATGACTTCATTGGAATCCACCTTGTTCTTCTTTTGAAAGCTCCACCTGTCTGCCAGAAAAATCTCTGGTAGGCTTCTCTTCCCCTTCGTTGGTACAAGCCTGGAGACAGTAGCCTATAATCAAGAACTTTCTGTTGTTTCTTGTTACTTAGAGCTCTCAACTATGGCTGCAACTAATTTGACAGTGGTGTTGTCATGGAAATGAAGATTTCAATGTTACACAGTGTTATCTGAGGGCAAGAAAAGCAACTTTTTATGGCTGTTACCTACATTGGAAAGACTTGTGAAACAAGACCCCCGCAATGGGTGTTCTTAGCAACTTCAATAAAAGTCCTGTGCAATAAAATGCAGGTTTTAAGGCTAATTTCCTAGTTTTCCAACCACTCTGCCTAGAAGTACCCAACCCAAATCTTGATAGTTGAGAGGGGAGAGGGTAGTAGACAGGCAATCTTCTCAGTATTAGAGTTTTAATGTAGGTGGAGACAGAGAAGATGAAAGTTTCTGCAAATTTTTTGTTGTTAAAAAGCTGAAGTACAACTGTTTGTCTAAGAGTTGCAACTCTTGAGAGATGTATTTCATAAGAGATCGTATGCAAAGTACTGCAGGTGCAGACCTGCAGGTTTCTGTACTCTTTTTATTGAACTCTGGCAATATTATAAAACATGATGTCAAAATCTTTTTTTAAGGGCCTGTGTGCCTTGTGGCAACATTATTTAGGTCCTATGAACATGTTATGTTGCATGTTAAATGCTGGATCAAGTTGTCATGAGAATATGTTCCACTTGGCAAACTTGATTAAAGCATGATGCCTTCCGTTATTGCTTGTAAGCTCTGCCATTCTGCATTGCCCTGAAGAGACAGAAACATTCTGAAACCACTCAGTTTGTGTTATTTTCAAATTAGTTGCCTTTGCAATGGCAACATGCTATGAAGGATAACCTGGTAGCTGATTGATCTGGCAGAGGCTGCAAATTAAAGACAATTGCTCATGACACACTCCAATGGCTTCGTAGATTCTGTTGAAATATTAATTTGGCTTTGCCATTTTAATTTAATTAAAGCTTGCTAGGTTTTTTCAATGCTGCATTTAAAGCTTTCATGGAATATGGATGGCAGTTGGGCTTTTTGTATCCTGTGGGAGTAATGATTCTTGACTTTTTTCCTTAATTTTATGAAGTGTTTTTGACTGCTTGCTTAAGCTAATAAGACTTAATATGGAACAGGCATTGATTTCACATATATAAATCTGAATTAATGGTCTCAGATAAACATGAAATTACCTGTATACTAGACTGAAAATTGCTTAACAAAGGTCTTCAAGTAAATGTATATTAACACTCTTTAAAGTGTCACAATTGTCATATAATCTATGATGGCAATAATGTAGTATACCTGGTTTTCTTCTCCAATAGTTGTATTCAAAAATTCAATTTTCAAACAAAACAGAAGACAGGAAGTGGCTATGTAGGCATCATGCTATAGAATATACTGCAGCACTTAAACCTTCACATGAAGCCTGCTGTATGATGAGTTAAGCAAAGATATTTTTCTTGTACATAAAATGAGCAAAATCAGGAGAGATGGACATCACGTCTATACAACTTAGAACAAAGTTGTTAAATTCATGCAATTCCTCCTGTATTTGTTCTGGATACCGAATTTCATGTAACAGGACTGGGGATATCTTGTCTTGGGCTCTGCTCACAAGATGATTTGTGGTATTCTGGGGTTCTGGATGCTGATGCAGACCTGCTCATGATTGAATGTCTGACCAATTAGATTAGCAGGAAATCATTCTAACTCTTCTAAATTTCTTTTTTCAGGAAAGAGATCGGTGTCATACCAACACTTATCTAGCAGCGTGCTACAAAAGCGAAGTTATGAAAGTTTCATTGGTAATGCACACTTTCGACCAAGTGACAAGAAGACTTGATCATTTACTTCAAGAAACGGTAAACAAACCTTTTGAACTAATTGTTACTTAAATGTTGCATTATGCACTCAAAGGTTTCCACATAGCGTGATGAGAGATTGTGAAGGTCTGAACCAGAACAGCTGAAAATACAAACTCTCCCTCTCTTCCAAAGTGAACCACATACTGGTATAGCAGCATTAGTTATTTTGAATAGTGGTAATGGCTTGCATAACAAGTACATAGATGCTCCTTTTCTAAAAGAAATAGAAGGGCTAACAATAGATAAATATATTAATTAGTTACAATACCAGTGGGAAGCGTTCAACAAAAGGGCTTTCCCCTGAAGTCAGTACATAGGGTAGGGGAACATCATGTGGAGAACTGGAAGTGAGAGGAAGTGCCTGTTCTCACAGGATTCATGAACTCTAAGACGTTATGTTGGTTAGTCCTTCCTGAAAATGTAGATGTTACTCATTTTACAGCTTCTGAAGATTGCAAGGATTGCCTCAAACAAGAATACTCTTTTTGGTGGATTATTTCATAGGGAAGTAAGGGTTTCCTGGTTGCTCCTTGACAGTTTATCTTTGTGTACTGGAGAGGTTGTTCCAAATAGTTTTTCCTTTGTTTGACGGAGGAGTGGGTGTGGCCTCTGAGGGAAACGGGTCAAGTGAAAAGAATTAGCCTGGTGTTCTGAATTCCCGTGCTTCGTCTGCAGTTCTGTAGCTGTATCTCAGAACTTAACAGCCCCATTGTGTTTGCAACATTCTTAGCTGCTAAGGAGATAAGTACTGTAAGTCTATAAATAAATATATCTGTATGCTTTTTTCAAACCCAGAGCTACAGATAATTTTCCTTGTTCAAATTTAAGGGGATAAATCTTGAATGCTATAGCACCTGGACCAGCATGCACTATTTTAGGGAAACATTTTGCATATCTGGGGAGCAGAGCTATCTGACATCTAGTTGACAATTTTTAAAATACTTCACTTTATTTCTTGATATTCTTCTAATCTTACTGCTTTTATTGTTCCCCTACTAAGCGTATTTTTGTCCAGTTCTGCTTTTTTAAGCTAACTCAATTTCCTGCCTGTATTTCTACTTGGGGCTTGAGTATCTTCAAAAGTAGACTTGATCGCCAGTTTTTATTTGGCAAATAAAAGACACAGGCCTTATATGGCAATATGAATTTCTAAATACACATGCAAGGGTGCAGAAGAAATTCCCTTTGTTTTAAAGATACTCCTCACAACAAAAAATGTCTTGTACTATTTTGTAGTTGTATAACACAAAACTATTTTTTTCTTTTTCCCCTAGGACACAAGTGCATGTTCTATGGAGTTATACCCACAGTTCATCCCTTGAGGAAAAATGAATGGTGAAAGCTACTGAACTAAGCTGTGATTGTACTGTATATAAAAACACTACAGTTTTATAATACTGGTTCTGTTAACATTTTGTACCAAATAGCCATAAAAAGTAGTCTAAACAATTGGGTTATGAAGGTGTGTGGAGAATGTATATCTTGACATTGACTTTCGAGTATTTTTCATTAGAATTAATTGACCAAATATTAGGTAGGAATTATATTTTTACATACTTGAGCGCTGCTGAAGAGTTTGTCTTTGAAAGAATATATAATCATTGCACCTCAGGTAAACTGTAGATACTGAAGTTGGAATCCCGTTGGCTTAATGCTCCTTTTTCATAAAGGTGAAAGTTTCTCATCTGTTTTTTCTGTTGAACTATGTTAGTTTTTTAGAACAACTTCCAAATAAACTGTCTGAAACTGTCCAGTTTATAAATGTTGTGAACATCAAAGCAACGGTGCTGACATGATGCTGATCTGCCTTGTATACGTTAGGACCATAACATGTTGGAGGGATGTGTTTCCCTGGGGTTGTTTCCAGCATATTTTTAAAAGCAAGGATGAGGCAATACTTGACATTTGGATTTTGGTGGGGCGTTCCTGAAGTATGGTTGGATTCTTCTCTTGGCATTGGTTGCTGTTCTTCAGAGAAACCTCTTAAACAAACATCTCTACCAACATACAAACTTTTACAGCAGAAAATTCCTAGGACTTGCATGGGAAACGATACTAATCTAAATGTTTCAAATGTTTAGTTTTGTACTAAACTCAATACAGTTACATTTAGAGGAAAACTACTTTGCACCTTTGTCCAAACTGTAAAGTCACAAACAAACAGACTTGCAATACGAATATGGGATCTACAGACTTCAAAAGGGATGTGGCTATGGTGTAGCCTGCTTGACTGTGCTTGGAAGCTTCTTGATGTCGAGTTTTAGCATCTACCGGGTGTTTAAAATAAGTAAGAAATAACCTGTAAATGGGAGAATATCTCCTTTTATTTTTTTGTGAAGACAACAAGAGTTTTTTCTAATGCACATGCAGTTTAATTTTGTGTAAAGGGAAGATGGCCAGTTACCAGCCAGTAAGGCAGAATTGTTGCATATTTTGACTTGCGTTCCTAGTTGCTTCTCATAAAGCCTGTAGTTAAGAGTTAATTTTCTTCTGTACCTGCCTTTGACTTCCATATATTTTAGTAAAACAAAAAATGAAAAATTTTGCACTGTTCATTTTGCTCTCTTCCCTCATACAGCAAATGTAAAATAGCAAAACCTAGAAACTCTTGTATTTTCATTATGCAACTTGAGATGTTCCAGTTGTATGTCTTAGTTCCTGTATATGGGACCTATTTTTAATGTCTCTGTAAACTGGCGATGTAATGAAGTGCTGTGTATCAGGAAATTGTACACTATTTACCTTTTTTCCTGTTCATAAGCTGAGCCATATGTACATAATCTAGATTTTTGTTTTCCTAGTTTTGCACTTTTATAGCCTATTTTTTGAAGATGAATTCACTTGGAAAATGGTTAATCTATTTTTTTGCGTGATCTTTCAATGAGTCTTATAGAATGCATGCTGTAACTTTCATCTGTGTACCTTACGGGGTTCTGTGATTAAAATGTACGGGGCTGGTTTTTAAGATGTTTCAGCAAACAGACCTAAGACTCGTTTGTTTTTAATCTCCCTTCATGCTGGTACAGTTTCCCTCAAGGCTTTCTTTGGTAGGTAACTTGGGGTTGGAATGGAAAAATGGACATGAAGACTCTATTTCATGGCAGCACAGCCCTGTACTTCAGAATACACTTTGCCCATCAGTATTAACTATTGGGATACTACTGGTTTTGTATGTTTCTTTGGAAATAACAGTGCATATATAGAGGTACAAATTGTTGATTTTTTTTTTTTTTGTTTATGTATTTATTTCATTCCATTTTGTTTTATTTTAATTGTTGAAACCGGAAGTCGTCAAGCAGTAGGCACACATTACTCATTTAATTTATGATGTATTTCACTTTAGTTGAGTATATTATTACATGTGGATGTAAATATAGACTTGGTGTTTTGCAAAGCTGGTTTCTGTGTCTTGCTTTTAAAGCTTAAAATGAGTTAACGCCTGGAATTTCATGTTCACTTGACCTTTTGTCATACTTGCACCGCTGGGGGAGGAAGAGAACCTGCCAATAACCAAAACCGAATTTGTGCCCTGTTCAGTTGCTTATGTGAAAATACTGAGTCACTTCCCAGAAAATCTGTCTGTGAGGCTTAAGAGGAAAACTCTTAAAATAATGAAGAAATCTTTTGTTTCTTTTTGGCTTCAAGCGTCTTGTATCTCCAAACAGTGTGGGATATTGGAGGTGGTTTTTTTCAGTGCTACCATGTCTGTTCTGTTGTATAATTGGCTGATCAGTTGAGAGCTGCATTAATACTGCTGAAACGTCTTCCCTTCCCTTTTCCTTTGAGATAAAGGTTAGTCCTAGCCTAAGCTGGGTTAATGGACAGGTGGTGACTCTGGAGGGGGAAGGCCAAAACCAAAAAGAAATGGAGCCAGGGATTACATCTAGGGTGTCTTCAGTGTCGATAGAGCTGCTGGCGTCAGGGTGGTTGGTGAGCTGTGCTCCTGACTCCGGGCTCTGCTCCGGTTTCTGCCCCTGGTGCCAGGAAGCCCTCTGGTAACCGGTTTGCACAGCAACCTGTGGAGTTCTGTCTGCTGCCTCCAAGCAGAGTACCGGAGGACCTCAAGAACTGAAGCGCTGGAAGGCAGAACTGAAATCCTGTGGTTCTTTGCAGTGACTGTAACTGTTCGGATCAACATTGCAAACAATTGTTTGAGGGGTCTTCTGCCTGTGCTCTTAATGAATTACCAGTTAAGATATGTAGTCAGACTCTGTCTTCACATTCTGAAGAAGCAACACTCATTTTCTCTTACAAGGAAGACCTAATATTAAATCACAAAACAGTTTCTTCTTCCCCTTTTTGAAAGAGGAAAATATGCAAGTGCGTTACTGAGCAGATTTCTCTGTTCATTTGCACACACTTAAGAAAAGTGCATTTAATTAGGATTAGCAAGTCTCTAAATTGCAGATGGTTCTCAGGGGAAAAAATAGTTATGAGTGCATTCATGACATTAAAATCAGTACATTTAATTCAATTTCATCTTAATATTAATTCATAATGTCTAAAGTAGTAGTTCCTACAGAAACTATTCATATGACTTAGGATTACTGGGGAAAATGGAATCTAGCATTTCTAAACATGCTACAGCATGATTACCATGTATAATTACACAGATTGAGTGACTCCATGCTAATTACATGAGTGCACATTTTGACATGTATTGTTACCTGTAACAAGGGTCGGTTAGATGATGCGCAGCTTCCTTTAGTTTGGAGTTCGTTATGGGTAGATACCGAGTCCGGTGTTGGGTCACACGTGAAATACTGCAGAAGGCGGCAGCTGTTGGCACTCAGTTCCAGAGACAAGGGTGCTGGGTTGAGCGTGGTATTGCAAAACAAGAAATGCTCTGGGTTAATGCTTTTCAGGCTGCCTCTGTTCCCACATCTCTGTCTTTAGAGTGAAATGTGAAGGTGTGGTGTCTCCCCAGATCGTCCATTCTTAATTTCATTACTGGCTGGAGTTGAACTGAGCCTGGTCT